GTCGTCTTTTAAAAATATCATTATAAACTGATGGATTTACTCATATTTGTGTTTCAGTCAATTACAATGATCACTGGATGCTCACATTGTCCCATCTATAGGCTATTCAGATTGACTTCTGAATCCTTTTGAATAACTCCACTAACCTTTGTAATGTCTTTGCAACCTGGTATGACAAAATGTTCCAGACCCATCTTGTACATGTCCTGCCCCAGACCTGCATTCAGCCATTTCTCTGAGGAGCCCTGGTTCCTTTTAATGGGAATAGTATTAAGAAATCAGAATGTCAATCTTGTGTGTACTAATTGCTAATGTGTGGGTCACTTTTCTAGGACAATTCTGTGCATACAGCTTAAAAAAAAAAAAGGTTTTTTGGAAGATAAAATGCATTGTATGTTTATATTGATTATTCCAGTTCAAATTGGGTTTTTATTGAGCCTCTTCAGTTTTACATTTTTCTTTTCCCCTATGCCGAGCTAATACAGGATGATAAAACTATGATATTACATAATAACTCATTTGAATTATCCCATAATAAATACAGAACAGTCTCAGAATAGTAGTAGCACCACCAGTGTGATTCCTAAAAACAGCTGTTTGTTTGCCTTATGTAGTTCTCTTATGTATTTAGGGTTCATCACACTAGGGATTTACAGTCAAATTCTTGTGTTTTAAAGTTACTTGGAATGATTCCTTGTGTAGTTATGCCACCAAATGGATGCACACTTTCGTTCATTTGTTTCTTTTTATTTTTTGAGGTTACTTTAAAAAATTTTTATTTCTTAATTATATGAAATATTCACAGGTTTTAAAGACAAGCTGAAAAAGCAAGATATATTCTAAGAAGTCTAGCTTGTACTCGTCAACACTCTACCCTATTCCTTCTTACCTATAGATAAACTTAAAAGAAGTCTTTTTATGCATGTCGGTCTAGATATGTTTCAGTGCATATGTGTATATGTATGTGTGTTCACATGACCTCTTTGATAGAAGAATGATAAAAAGTACACTATACATGCCTTTCTCCACCTTGCTTTTTTTCTCTTTACATATACTAGCAGTTACTCCACATTGAAATATTTATTTTGTGGATATATCATAGAATAAATGCATACATAATTTTACTAGATATTGTTACAGTTCCCTCTGTAGTTATACCATTTCTCATTCTCTCCAGCAGTGTACGAATGTACTTGGTTCCCCATAGCCTTGTCAACAGACTATGTTGTTAATGAAATGTTTCTCCTTGTCCCTGGTTAGCTTCCTTGTTCTTCAGTCTTTGAGAGCAGCATCTACTTTCATTTGTATTCGTGTTTGCAAGGCATATCTCTTTCTTTCAGTCTTTTATTCTCTCATTCTTTTTTTTTTTTATTAACATTAAAATTTTATTTATTTATTTATTTTTGGCTGTGTTGGGCCTTTGTTGCTGCACGCAGGCTTTCTCTAGTTGTGGCGAGTGGGGGCTACTCTTTGTTGCGGTGCGTGGGCTTCTCACTGCAGTGGCTTCTCTTGTTGTGGAGCACGGGCTCTAGGCACGCAGGCTTCAGTAGTTGTGGCGTGCGGGCTCAGTAGTTGTGGCTTGCGGGCTCTGGAGCGCAGGCTCAGTATTTGTGACACACGGGCTTAGTTGCTCTGCAGCACGTGGGATCTTCCTGGACCAGGGCTCGAACCCGTGTCCCCTGCATTGGCAGGCGGATTCTTAACCACTGTGACACCAGGGAAGTCCCAGTTCTCTCATCCTTTCATTCTTCTGTTCCTCCCTCGTTCCCTCCTCCCTCCCTTCCTTCCTACCCTGTAAATGTTCCTGGGGCTTAATATTTAAAATAAATACCTTGTAAATATCCTATAGTTTGAGTTGGGTCTTTGTTTTGTTTTTGTTGGTTTGTTTTGATTTTGGTTGTTTTAATCCAGTTTGACACACTCTTTCTTTCAATTGGAATGTTTATACCATTTACCATTTAATGTAACTGTTGATACAGTTGGGTTTAAAGCTGCCATCTTAATATATGTTCCCATTTCTTTCTGTTTCTGCCCTCTTTGAGGTTGACTATTTTTAATGATTTTATTTTATTGGCTTATCTGTGTTCAAATAAAATTATACCCCTTAATGTATATTGTAAAACTCTTGCAGCAGTATACTTCCATGCCTTCCCCCTCCAGGCTTTTGTGCTTTTGTTGTCATACATTTTGTTTCTATGTGTGTTATAAATGCTACAATATGTTACTGATATTTTTGCCCTAAACACTTTGATATATCTCAGGTTAACAATAGCATATTTCTTTGATTTGTACACATATATTTACCTTTTTTACCTACCATTCTTCATGTTTTGGATATCTATCCATGTTTTCAGCTGGTATCATTTTTGTTCCTGAATAACTTTAATGTTTCTTAGAGTATAATTCTGCTTATAATTAATTACCTTAGTGTTTCTTTGTCTGAAAAAGTCTTTATTTTATCTTCATTCTTAAAGTATTTTTGCTTGGAATAAGAATTCTAGGTTGAGAGTTCTTTTGGTTTTCAGTACCTGAAAGATGTCACTCTCTTATTTTCTGGACTGCATAGTTTCTGATGAAAAGTGATCTTTCATTCTTTGTTCCTCTATACATAATATGTCTTCTCTGACTGGTTTTGAGATTTCTTTTTTTTTATCGCTGTTTTCACCAAATTGATACTGATGTGCCTTGGAATGGTGTACTTAATGTTTCTTCTGCTTGAGGTTTATTGAGATTCTTGGGACTGTGGGTTTATTTTCATCATATTTGGAGTTGTTTTGGTAATTCTTTCTTTCTTTTTTTTTTTTTTAATGTTCTCCCCTTCTCGCCCCCTTGGTTTCTGGGACTCCAACTGCATGTATTTTTGACTACTTAATATTGTCTTAGAGGTCACTGATGTGCCATTCTTATTTTTTTTCCTGTCCCCCCCCTTTGTTTTATTTTGCATAGTTTCTGTTGCTATGTCTTCAAGTTCACTGATCTTTTCTTCTATAATATATATAATCTGCTTTTATTCTATGTGTATATTTTTAATTTGAGGTATTATATTTTTCATATTTAGTAGTTCCATTTGGGTCTTTTTGATATATATATATTTCACTTCTGTCCTCATCATGTTCATGTTTTCTTCTTACCTTCATGAGCATATGGAGCATATTTATAACAACTGTTTTTATGTCTTTGCTAATTCTGTCACCTGTGCCATTTCAGGGACTGTGTCTATTGATTAATTTTGTCCTGATTATATATTTGAAGGTCTTTCTGCTGTGGCTGGTGGAAACATGAATTGCTACCAGCCCTGTGTGTGGTAGGGAGTTTTTTGGCCTACTTCTTTCTAACATTCTTTTCCTGGTCTTAGGTAGTTTTTGCTCTTGCATGATGCTGATCATTATTCAGCCAAAGACTCAGGGATACCCCTCTTCAGGTCTACAGAACTCAAGCTCTCTTTCTCTCTTTGTAGCTCCCTCCTCTGTGGTGCTTTGCTGTAGAAAGTATAGCTCCCTTGGCCTCCCAGAATTCTCATTCCTGTCTCCCTCAGCTGCATGCAACCACCAGGCTCTATTTGGGTCTCTACTTCTCCTTGTACTGCAGTCTGGAAACTACCTCCTTGCAGTAATTGGGGGCAGATGTAGGGCTCTTCTAGTTTGTTTCCCATCTTTTACGGATTTTCCGCACTGCGCTTCCTATTGTCCAGTGTCTGAAACCATTAACATATTATCTTGTTTTCTACTTGTTGAAGGTAAAAGAGTAAACCCAGTCTCAGATATACTGTCCTAATCTGAAGCAGAAGTCCTCTGAGTATAGGTTTAATTTGTATTTATATATGTTTTTAAAGGAGTGAAGGTAAACATCTGTTCACACATAACTGGGTAATTTGTTTATCTTCTTTTGAAGAGCTTTCTACTCTGTTAAATCCAACCCATTTTTCTGTGATATTGTTGGTCTTTTCATTCTCTATTTGTAGGTGTTTACATTTTAGGGATATTAACCCTTTCTCTGTAACATGAAATGCAAAGTTTCCCTTCAGTTTGTCATTTATTTATTTTTATTATATTTTGCTGTTGGTATCTTTTCTGAGACTCTGATATTATTATAATGAATTATTTTATCTCTAATTTTTTTTTTCTACTGGAGCACTGGGTTGTTATTGGGGAAGGGGGAGGATTCAGAAGTTGCTTTCACTGTGAGATGTATTCATAATAGTTGAGCTAAGAGATTCTGCTTTATTCAGGATTTTAAGTTTTTATATAGTGGAATGATATGATACATAAATGTTCTTCCAGGTAGCTATATGACCCATTCCCTACCTCTTTCAGAACTCTACTCCAATGTTACTTTATAAGCACATCTATAAGCACTCTATTTAAAATTGTAACACTGTCACACACTTAGCCCCATTCCCTATTCCTGTCTTCTTTTTCTTCTTCTGCTTCTTATTTTCCCTTTACAGGAGTTACCACAATTTGACATAACATATGTTTTGCTAATTTATGTATAATCATGTGTCTTATCCCTAATATGCTGGTAGCATGAAGGCAAGGATTTGGGACTTTTAATAGTGCCTGGCACTATAGTAAGTGCTCAATTTGTATTGGTTAAATGATCAAATTTCTGTTCATGTAGGTTGTTTTGGCACAAAGTAAAAAGCGAATTGGAAGAGGAAGAGCCTGGAGAAAGAAGGTGTAAGGTGGCAGAAGCTTAGCTGAAGTGGTACCAGTGAGAATGAAATAGAAAAGGCTAAAGGAATGACATTAAAAAGAAGAAATGGGTCACCATCCTTGTTTGTTTTTATAATTATTAAGTAAAAAGGAAAAAATACTTTATTTGGATTATATTTTTAATATAGATATTTATAAAGCGAAATTATAGATTGAAAATGTCTGAGTAGATGTTATGACTTTTTTTGTTCTTACAAAACATTACTTTAAAAATACAAGCTATCTAGTGGAAGTCATGTTGTTTTTTCTGGTTAATTGTTTTTCTTTAATTTTTTTTTTTTTTAGAGCTTTGCTTCCTGTTTTACATCACAAATCTAAGAAAGGACCCCCCCGTCAAGCCAAATATGCTATTCATTGTATCCATGCAATATTTTCTAGTAAAGAGACACAGTTTGCACAGATATTTGAGGTAAAGAGAAAAGTTTTTTGTTTGTTTCATGTTATAGTTAAAAAACAAATATGAATGATTTTATAGGATGTTCACATTTGGAGATGTATCATTTTATAGTTTATTTTCAGAATTTGAATTAGTATAATCAATATTGATGGGCGATTAAAATCAGAAAATATCTGATTATTCAGATGTTTAATGCTAACTCAGATTCAGAAATCAAACAGTTGTATAATATTTTTTGACATTACTTTATACATTTAGTATTAGGAAACTATTTTTCATTAGTAAGTAATTACATATAAAATCCTACTTATTGATAGTAGGCAGTAGATGATTATCAGTTTACAGATTTGAAAGTTAGATTTCTATATATGAGATACTACTGAAGTGTGGGGTTCTATAAATCCATACTAATTTGTAATGTAAGGTAAATAAGTATAAGTTTGTACTTCAGTGACTGACATAATTTTATGTCAGGTTAAAATGTGCCTTTTCCCTTGCAGAGCATTTGGTCCACACCAAAAGGTCCTTGATATTTTGGTGCTCTCCAGAATGTCTGTGGGCATATTTGGTCCATGCCAAATGGTTTTGGACAGGACCAAATATGAACAAATATCGAGGACCTTTGTGTGTAGACCAAGTGTCTTATGGATGTATTGGATAGGACCAAATGTCTACTGACCATCTTTTCAATATGTATTTTATATTATTTTTTCTGTACTTGGAATTACTATTACCCTTTCTAGGCATTGCAATTTCATTACAAGCTATTATAATCAGGGGCTGTCTTTAGCATTCTTCCTGCAAATAGAAGCTAAGCAGAAAATCTATAAAATCCTAACTTATAATTTTAGTTTAGGAGCTTTGAACGAAGTCAAAACAATTTGGAAATTATGCTGAAACTAACCCACCATAAATACTTAGACTTGTTATCTCTGTTTTAGAAATATTTATGCTAATTTTGTCATATTTTCATATATTATGTTAAAGACCTAAAGGAGGAAAAAAGTTTTCTTTATTAAACAGCATCTTTGCTATAGATAGCAAATAGTAATATATTTTAAATTTGGGGGTGGAAATACTTTCTATAGTCTTTTTTTTTAATAAGAGGATGACTTCCATGAACTCATGTTGATTTCTAGAAGGCTTTTGTTTTTCTTGAATAGTCTCCTTTTTGTTCCTTCCAGTGATGATGAGGAGGAGGATAATGCTGATAATAACTTGAATTTTTAGGGTACTTCTATTTTCATTTTTGATATCTTTTACTTATCTTTATGAGAACCTAACTGGTAATCCTTCTACTATGACATACAGGATTGGCTGGCTTTCTGAGAAAAGGTCTCATAGAAACATATGGCCTTTATGAGGTTACTATTAATCGAGGGGCTGGCCATTTATTTTGCTTTTTCAGAAATGATTTTATTATCTTACTGTGGAAAATTGTCACACATTATAATAAATGAATTGAAAAAAGTACACTATCAGGTATTTGTTTATAATGTAAACAACAAGTTATCACTTAGATGTGCAATGGAGGTACTGAGGGAGGTCATCAAGAATAGCAAGAAGTAAACTCATTTAAGTATACTTTTGACTAAACTAAGCCTCTCACATTGCCCTAGTGTGTTGGGAAGAACAGTTTTGTGTTGTTTTTCAAGCCTAGAATTCTTGGTGTTCAGTGTAGGAGGATAGAGCATCAATTCTGCATTAAAATGTGTCATTAAAATTTTTAATAGATAATATATTCACTTGCTTCAAAATCAAGAGATACAAAACAAATATCCAGTAATAAATACTAAAGAGTAAAGAGTTTTCTCTTTTGCTTCACCCCCATATCTCCAGCCACCCAGTTTCTTAGAGGCAGCCAATGTTATCAGTTTCTAATGTACTTTTCTGGAGAGATTTTATTCATATGCAAGTAATGTAAATACACAAAATACACACATATTTTGTCCCTTCCCCCTCTCCTTATGCCAGTGATAGTATACTGTAGTTACTCTTCTGATTTTCCTATTTAAAAAATTTAACAATATATTTTAGGTATCAATTTATGTGAGTATATAAGGAGCCTCATTCTTTTGTCATGGCAAAATGAATATTAATGGCTGGGTTTCCTATTAGAATAATAAAAATAATTTTATTAGTTATGGTAATTAATATTTGATGCTATAAAAATCCACAAAAATCCATGTGACTATACATAATAAAACTTATTTCTTGGTCCTGAAAAAAGTCTAATTGGGTGCTTTGATTGTATTCTAATCAGTGGCTTAGACACACAGACCCTTTTTGACTAGTGGCTTCTCTTTGAGTCCCACTGGATCCTTGGTATTAAGACAGCCAGTGAGTAAAGAGAGAGAATGTGGAGAAGAAACATTGCTCATATCTGCCTCAGTACAGGCATGGCATACCTCACTTTCATTCCCATTCTGGTAACCAGAACTTATTCACATCCTCACCTAACTGCACATATAGGCATCCTTGAATGGAAGTGGATATTGGTGAGCCTTAGCAGTCTCTAACATACTTATATATGTGGTCATAAAATATATGATACATAATATGATTCTTCATGCTGAAATGTTCTTTATGTAACCTCTAAAATATAACTTGGGCAAAACTGAAAATATTTAAATATGATGCCTTCTACATAAATAACCTATAAAAGTTTAAATGTAAGCTTGAGCTACTACTTAAACCATGTATTGGAACTTTTGTAGTTTTTAAAATTTGAAGGTGAAATATGTGAACAGCTTATTTGCATGTTTATGGAGTTGATCATTTTCCTTTCCTCATTTTCAGCCTCTGCATAAGAGCCTGGATCCAAGCAACCTGGAACATCTCATAACACCGCTGGTTACTATTGGTCATATTGCTCTCCTTGCACCGGATCAGTTTGCTGCTCCTTTGAAGTCTTTGGTAGCTACTTTCATTGTGAAAGATCTTCTCATGAATGATCGGGTAATTTTTATTTTTTAGTTGTGTGTTCTTCATAATGCTATCTTCTAAAATTTTATGCATCAAAGAGAGAAGTGAAATGATGTAAATAACACTTCAATTTGGCTGACTTATTTTAGGTTTTCCTATCTTTTTAACATGCTGTATCTCCATTGTAAGTGAAACAACATTGAAACATCTCTTTAGTTGAGCATAGGACTATGACCTGGAATACTTTCCTTCATAAATACAAAATATTACCTGATTCTGTCTATTTTAACTTTATAGGGGTTTAATTTTTATAATGACATCTTTTTTAAAAAATGTGAAGACTGACAGGTTAGTTTATAATATGGTTGTTATGATAGTAGTTGTTGCATTTCATGCATACAAGAGAGAATTAAAAGAGCCTTGGGAGAAAACATTGGGAAAGAAATAGTGATTTTCTCTGTCTCCAGTATGTGAGTATTTGGGGTAGGGCATGACATGTTGGGTTTTAGAGAATTGACCCCTTACAGTTACGTGGAGTTTTATGCACGTCTTTGTGTTTTTAGATATATACACATATGTGTGAAAAGAAAACCTTAAAACTAGGATTTTCAGAATGGTAAATGAGCATTGGCTTCAGTTTGAAGTCACCAGCTGCATTAGCCCCCTAACAAGAGAGTAGGCCTGTCCTTTTGAAGCTTTGAAGCCAAGCATTCACTTCTCTCTGGCTATGAAAGTTCTAGACGGCATCTTCTTCCAATAGAAGATTGTTTTCTGCATTGAAAATCGGTTGTTTAGCATAGCTACCTTAATTAATGATTAATTAATGATCTTAGCTAGATGTTCTGGATAACTTGCTGCAGCTTCTGCATCAGTACTTGCTGCTTCCCCTTGTACTTCTATGTCATAGAGATGGCTTCTTTCCTTAAATATTATGAACCAACCTCTGCTAGCCTCAGATTTTTCCTCTGCAGCCTCCTCACCTCGCCAGGCCTTCACAGAATTGAAGAGAGTTAGGGCCTTGCTCTGGATTAGGCTTTGCCTTAAGGGAATGTTGGGCTGGTTTGATCTCCTCTCCAGTCCACTAAAACTTTCTCCATATCAGCAATAAGGGTGTTTTGCTTTCTTACCATTACGTGTTCACTGGAGTAGCACTTTTAATTTCCTTCAGGAACTTTCCCTTTGCATTCACAACTTGGCTAACTGGCACAAGTGGCGTAACTTTCAGCTGATTGCAGCTTTTGACATGCCTTCGTCACTAAGCTTGATCATTTCTAGCTTTTGATTTAAAGTGAGAGATGTGCAATGCTTCCTTTCACTTGAACACTTTATAGAGGCCATTGTAGGGTTATTAATTGGCCTAATTTCAGCATTGTTGTGTCTCAGGGAATAGGGCGGCCTGAGGGAGAGGGAGAGAGATGGGGGAATGGCCAGTCTGTAGAGCAGTCAGAACACACACATTTACTAATTAAGTTCGCTATGATATGTGGGAGTGGTTCATGGCACCTCAGAACAATTACAATAGTATCGTTAAAGATCGCTGATCGGGCTTCCCTGGTGGCACATTGGTTGAGAGTCCGCCTGCCGATGCAGGGGACACGGGTTCGTGCCCCGATCCGGGAGGATCCCACATGCAGTGGAGCGGCTGGGCCCGTGAGCCATGGCCGCTGAGCCTGTGCGTCCGGAGCCTATGCTCCGCAACGGGAGAGGCCACAACAGTGAGAGGCCCACGTACCGCAAAAAAAAAAAAAGATCGCTGATCACTTATCACCATAACAAATGTAATAATAATGAAATCATTTGGAATATTGCAAGAATTATGAAAATGTGACACAGAGACATGAAGTGAGCAAATGCTGTTGGAAAAATAGCACTGATGGACTTGCTTGACACAAACCTTCAATTTGTAAAAAATGCAGTATCTGTGAAGCATAATGAAACAATTTTTGTCTGTATACAAAAAGTATGTCAGACAGCTGGGTCACAGTAAAAAAAAAAAATACTGTATATTTAGAGTGTAATTAGAACTACAGCAAGAGAGGAAAGAGAATATGAAACAGAAATAGTATTTGAAGTGATAATGCCAGAAAATTTTTCAAAATTTATGAAAGACGTCAAAGCTATACATTCAAGATCAGGTAGAAGCCCCAAATAGGATAAATATAACACACAGCACACCCAGATACATATAGTAAAACTGGAACCAATCAAAATAGAAAAGATTAAAAGCATTTACAGCAAAAAGACAGAAAACCTTCAAAGGGACAAGACTTGTCACTTGACTTCAAAAGAAAAGATAAGAAAATGGAATAATATCTTGAAATTATCGAGTGGAAGAAATGTACCAATCTAGAATTCTAAACCTGGAGAAAATATCCTTTAAAAAGGGAAGGCAAGGGCTTCCCTGGTGGTGCAGTGGTTGAGAGTCCACCTGCTGATGCAGGGGACACGGGTTCGTGCCCCGATCCGGGAGGATCCCACGTGCCGCGGAGCGGCTGGGCCCGTGAGCCACGGCCGCTGAGCCTGCGCGTCTAGAGCCTGTGCTCCACAACGGGAGAGGCCACAGCGGTGACAGGCCCGCGTACCGCAAAAAAAAAAAAAAAAAAAAGGAAAGGCAAAGACATTTTCAGACAAACAAAAACTGGAAGAGTTCATTAGCAGTTATCCCAGCTAAAATAATTTCTACTTTAATTCTTTGGGTAGAAAGCAAATTATCACAGAGACAAAACAGAGTGAAAAACAAGAGAAAGAGGAAAATATGTTGGTAAGTCTAAATAAATATTAACTGCATAAAATTAGAACAGTAATGGTCCTGTGTGAACAAGAGCACAGTAAGCATCAGAGTATAAAGGGAGTTGATGTATTTTAAGTTATCTTAGAATGCTGAACCTACTACTGTTCTGAAAGTTTAAGACAGAATTATTGAAATTGGCCTTCAATAAGTTAAGGCCACTACTCTCTAGGACAACTACTAAAAGAATAGGAAAATATAAAACGAATAAGCCAGTAAAGAGGAGAATGGAATAAAAATATTTAACCAAAAATAAGGCAAGAAGAAGATGAAAATGAACACAGAACTGATAGAACAAACTGAAAAAACATCAGTTGGCAAATTTTTATTTTATTTTATTTTTTGGCCAGTTTTTTAAAAAATTAATTATTTATTTTTGGCTGCCTTGGGTCTGTTGCTGTGTGCGGACTTTCTCTAGTTGTGGCGAGCAGGGCACTCTTCATTGCGGTGCGCAGGCTTCTCATTGTGGTGGCTTCTCTTGTTGCGGAGCACGGGCTCTAGGCATGCGGGCTTCCGTAGTTCCGGCACGCGGGCTTAGTAGTTGTGGCTTGCGGACTCTAGAGCGCAGGCTTAGTAGTTGTGGCACACGGGCTTAGTTGCTCTGCGGCATGTGGGATCATCCTGGACTAGGGCTTGAACCCGTGTCCCTGCATTGGCAGGTGTATTCTTAACCACTGGATCACCAGGGAAGTTCCTCAGGTGGCAATTAATCCTAATCACTATTTACATAACATGTAAGCAGACTATGCTAATTAAATACAAAGTTGACAGAAAGTTTGTCAGAACTGGGTTGTGTACAGTTCTATATATGACATTTAGAAGTCTTCAAGTCTTCTATTAGTTACTGTTACTCTGTCTTTTCCCCCTGAGATTGGGAATGGGATAAAAATATCCACTATCACCACTTGTGTTGTTTTGAAGGTTCTGGCCATTCTAGGAGGAAGAAAGAGAAATAAAATCCATTAAGAATGAAGGAAAAAAAAAAGCTGTTATTACTATGAACGGAGAAAACCTAAAAGAATGCAAAAGTTAATAGAATTAAAAATTGTCTTTAACAAGGTCCCTGGATTCAAAGTCAGTATAAAAAAGAAGTAACTTTATATTTCTATGCCAGTAATAAACAGTTAGAAAATAAATATTAAAAATTACATTTACAGTAACATCAAAAACGGTTAAATGCCTAGGAATATACTTAAGAAAGGTAAGCAATACCTCTACACAGATGTTTAAGAAACATTCCTCAGTGAAGTTAAAGGCCACCTAAGGTATATACTGTCTTCATGAAATGAAAAGGTCAGTATTATAATACCATGGAATGGGATGGTGATACTATAATGATGACAGTTATCTGCAGATTTACAGTTCAATACAATATGTATCAGAATTCTAGCCAGATGTGTGTATATGTTGGCGTAGAGTGGTATAGGGAGAAGAGACAAGCTGATTGTAAGATTTCAATAGAAATGCAAAAGGCATAGCCAAAATCATCTTGAAGAAGAAGAAGATGATGATGAAGTAGTCGTAGTAGGAGGAGGAACAGCAGCAGCAGAAGTCATCATTAAAGACATTTGGAGGACTTAAGCTACTAGATATCACACCTTGTTATAATAATTAAGAAAGTATGAAACATAATCGATTATATACATATGATTTAGAACAAAAGTAACAGTAACATCCTGGAGAATTTCCTAATATTGGATTTGGCAGTGTATCCCTACATGAGAAATCAAAAGCACAAACACTAAAAAAAAAAAACCAAAAACAGATAAATTGCACTTCATCAAAATGTAAAACTCTTGTGCATCAAAGGGCATTATCAAGAAAGTGAAACCATCAACAAAATGAAGAGGAAACCTACTGAGAGAAAATGTTTGCAAATCATGTATCTGATAAGGGGTTAATTAATATCCGTATTATATAAATGACACATATAACTCAATAGCAAAAAAACAATTTGATTTAAAAATAGGCAGAGAGGGCTTCCCTGGTGGCGCAGTGGTTGGGAGTCCGCCTGCCGATGCAGGGGACACGGGTTTGTGCCCCGGTCCAGGAGGATCCCACGTGCAGCGGAGCGGCTGGGCCCGTGGGCCGTGGCCGCTGGACCTGCGCGTCTGGAGCCTGTGCTCCACAGCGGGAGAGGCCACGGCGGTGAGAGGCCCGCGAACCGCAAAAAAAAACAAAAACAAAAAAAATAGGCAGAGACATTTTTCCAAAGAAGATAAACAAATCATCAACAATTATATAA